CAAGGTGGACGAGGCAGCAATATTATTTATTTGTTATCGATGTAGAAAGGGATTATCTACTATCAACGACTCTTTTCGGCCACTGATTCACTACTCATGTCTAACCTGCAAAAGTCCTAGACCGACTTCTTGCATAGTCTTGATTCTTTACAGACGAGGTTCCACCACAAAAACAGTAGAAGAAGCACATGCTGCGTCGAACCGAACTATCCGACTCTACCATCGGGACACGGAACTGCGAGACCAGATCTATGGCTAACACCCACGGAGCAAAATCAATTTGACAAATTAGGTGCCTTCGTTTCTGTCCAGTCAAACTATGATGTTATCATTGATTTAATAGCTCTAATAGTATCTGGATAGGTAGGCTATTTCTTGCTTTAACAGCACATGTCAAAAAGAAGCTCTCATTATTGTTGCGGAATGACCAACTTGTAATATAATCGCGCAGGTTTGATCTTGTTTTCTGGAGAACCAATAACCCCACACTACGTCAGACTCAAGCCTCCCAAGTTATTAGTTCATCAATTTCATCCTCACCTTCTCAGGTGTTAACTTGGAGAATATACGTTAGATATTATCTTTGCTGTCATTCACTATGGCCTCACCAGATGCTGTATATTGTGCTATGCTATCTGCTCTCTGCTCTCCGTCCATTGCTGTGAATCCTTTGCCCCGAATCTTTCAGAGTTCTCCGTAGTCCATAAGGTACCTAGGGTATCGATGATTGATCAAATGGAGCTGTCATTGGCGGGCTTTAGTGGCTATGTTGCCGATCGGTTGAGGTCCTCCCGTTGTGGCGCTGCTGTGGATGGTGCAATACATGAATGTTTGACTTGACACAATTGCGATCAGCCAATCGTATTGTCTGGATCGGGATGGAGGCAAAGTCCGTTGATTGTTTGCTTATTATTATCCATATTTGCTCCTAGGCTCTCCCGCCTTGATTCAGGTATAGACACCAAAGCAAGCCGTTACCTGTCATATGCATCAGATGAAGTCACATAAAATGTCGGATGATGATAGTACGGAGCAATCAAATAATGCAAATGCGCGTGGCTTGGGAGCCAGTCCAACCTAGAGAACTTGTCGGCGGTTCTTTTCTTGACAATGAATTTAGGTATCAAGTATCAAAATTCTCCTTATTCGTTTGAGTCAGGTGCGGCCAAATGGAGAGCCACCAAATGACCACAGTGAGGATCGTAATGACTTTATATACTGCTGCTCTCAGACAATCGAAACTTTTTAAGGTATCTGCAGGGATCCAAGATGTGTGCCGATCATGACGTGATGGAGATAAAGATCCCAATGGCTGTCCAAGTGAATATCTCAAATAAGAACTGTAGTGCTGTATGATACCGACGACTTCAAAATAACCTGCAGTATCTAGATATGAAATAGGATGATATGGACCACCTTTTGAAATCGCTTGGTCTCACGGCATCGTGGTGAGAGAACGAAGATGGGCCTATGTGTTCTTGTACCACATGCCAAGGACGTTCACCTGTAAGTAGAAAAGACTCGATGGGCACCTGTCTGTACCTAGATTCGCACATCAAATCGGAAAGGAAGTTGCTCAAGTGAAATAAGTACTGCGGGGTAGAACTGATAGAGAAGTACCCTATTAGAAAGTACCAAGGTACGTAGGCTGACTGTTCGGTGGCGAGCCAAAAGATAAGTGATCATGATAAAGCCAATCACTGCTCTGTACAGTGGAATGTGACATTATAGTGCTTCCTTCTATTCTGATTGGATTCTTGGCACATGTTTTGCGTCAGAATTGGCGTTTATGGCTGATCAACTCTACAAGAACAAGAAGCTTCAAAACAGGTGTTAACATCGCTGGCAGCTTACCAGTCGCACAGAGGATTAGGTAGTGATTATATCATCAATATCTCAGCCTGTCGCCTGAACTGTTGCATTATCGACGTGTCCTGAAACTTTACTTTGTATTATCAGTATTGATCTTCCTTCGACTATCTAAATCTTGGCGCTAAGACTCCCTTCCTTCAGCTCAGTCTCTGGGCGATTCGCCGTCTCACACTGCCACATCCAATACTGCCACTGATCTGTAACTACCATGAGCTTTCAATTCCATCTCGTCTCATCCGCATCTTCAATATTCCACTGTCACTACAACTGTGTATAATATTTTTCACCTGATCCCGCTTTCTCACGCTGAAATTTTACCTTTTCCCAATCCCTGTTGAGCTCGAAAGGCCGACCCGACCATCGCTCACTTTCCGAGCACCAGCCCCAACCTTAAATAATAGTCAGGATCTCTCATCGACGACATCACCTTCGGCGCTCCGCCACCAACATCCTTCGCTCATCCTCTCCGTCGGGTGGTTCTGATTAATCACTTCCCCGGTCCATGGCCATTTTTACGTCTCCTAAATCGCTTCACAATGTCAACACCTTGGTTCCTCGCCAGTTCATGACTCAAATGTCATCGGGGATCATGAATGCTGGGGTGCTTCAGGATGGCGGCCATTCGAGCCATCCATCATTCTTCCACCTCGTCCTTCTGGTTTTCGAAGCTGTGTTGGAGGTAGTGTGTGTCAGCTTGCCCGGTTACATAGTTGCCAGACAGGGCATGTTCGATGCAGAAGCTCAGAAGTTGGTTGCTAACCTCAACGTCATGCTGTTTACCCCATGTCTGAGTATGTAGCTTTTTGTTGTTGCCTCCAGTGGATGGACCTTGAAACTAATATCGCGCAGTCTTCATCAAACTTGGTTCTCAACTGACGGCCGAGAAAATCACTGATCTCGCCATCATCCCGTTCATCTTCATCGTCCAGACCTTCGTCTCTTATTCATGTGCTTGGGTTATATCGCGATGTTTCCGCTTCAAAAAACGACAGGCCAATTTTGTGGCGGCAATGGCTGTACGTATTCCGAATTCTTTTCACCACATTCCCTATCTAACCTCCTTTATTAACAGGTCTTCGGTAACTCGAACTCCCTACCTATTTCCCTCGTCATGTCGCTTTCGCAGACCCTAAAAGGCCTTCACTGGAGCAAAGTCCCTAACGACAACGATGACGAAGTCGCCGCCCGTGGAATTCTATACCTACTCATTTTTCAGCAATTAGGTCAGCTCGTGCGCTGGAGTTGGGGCTATCATGTTCTTCTTGCTCCGAAGGAACGATACCTGGAAGAGGCAGATAGGGAAGACGGTGTGACCCGAATTGAGCAAGGGCAAGAACGCTACAGCGACAACCCGAACCAAACCGACCCAGATGAGCCACTTATCAGAAGTCGAAGCTCTGACAGTCTTACCCACCATGCAGCGGGCTCTTCCGGTGACACGGATGAGTTCAGGTCCGGTGAACAGACCCCCGTGACTGCTCAGACGTATTCCTATACGAAGCTGCCCACTCATGGCCATGTAAACAATGAATCAGACCACCACCCTTCCCTGATCGGGCCTCCTCCCAGCGGACCATTCCTTCCGCGCCAAAGTACTGGAGGCCACATCCTATTGTTTCCGAGCGTTGAGTTATCGCATGAAGGTCACAAGCACCAAAAGGGACCGTTCACCCGAGTCAAGGAGTATCTGGGACAACGCCGTAGTCGCATGTCAAGCTGTATCGCGAGCGGCTGGGAGAAGAGCACAAACGCAGTGTACAATCGACTCCCGAGCCGTGTACAGAAGCCCTTGTCTGTTTGTGCTCGTGGTATTAAAAGGTTTCTCCGTGGCCTATGGGACTTCATGAACCCTCCGCTGTGGGCTATGCTTGTGTCGATTATCGTGGCATCCGTGCCGTCCCTACAGCACTTGTTCTTCGACGAGGATACGTTCGTGAACAATTCGGTCACTAGAGCTATCAACCAGAATGCTCAAGTTGCTGTACCCTTGATCCTGGTCGTCCTAGGAGCCAACCTCGCACGAAACACTTTGTCCCAAGAAGCGCTCGAAGACATGGGGCATCCCAAGGAAGAGAAGAAGCTCATTATTGCCTCGCTCGTGGCTCGCATGCTGCTCCCAACCTTGATTATGGCACCTCTCCTTGCTCTGCTCGCTAAACACGTCCCTATCAGTATCTTGGGCGATCCGATCTTCATAATCGTCTGCTTCCTGCTTACTGGAGCTCCGTCCGCTCTGCAACTGGCACAGATTTGCCAGATCAATAATGTATACGTCTCTGCCATGTCGAAGCTTCTGTTCCAGAGCTATGTTGTTTGGTAAGTTACTTGCATGTTCAAGCTCAAGGTTCAGACACTAACAGATCTTAGGATTCTCCCTTCCACTCTCATACTTGTCATGTGTGCGTTGGAGGTCGTTGAGTGGGCTTCCGCTTCTACCTAAATGGGCTTTATGATTACGATCAGTGTAGTTTTATGGGTTATTATTACCGCGTGGTGTATGGTGTTGTGATTTGTTGCATTTCTTTCTTTCGATGTCTTATTATCGACATGTGGTCAATGACGGTTTTGTCTGATTACGCAGAATGGGAAATGAACAGATGATACCAATATCGGATGGCTCGGTAGCTTTCTAGTAAGCTTCATCAAAAGCTGGCTCTTTGCGCCGCAAATACCATTTTCATTGTTCAATAATTTTAACCAAGCATACCTTACTCGGCATAGCTGTGCACTTCTCTTTGTTACGGAGAGTTGCCTGTCTCATCTCATCATCTTTGATAACCATTACCCTGCCACCCCATTCACTTCATGACACGACAAGGCAATGAAGTAGCTATACCAGTGGCTCTTCTCCTTCAAGCGAGGACATCTTTTGATAAAGCAGAGAGCCATGCAAACGCGGAACCAGAAAGCAAGCCCTGAACGGCGAAGCCTCGAAACATTGGGATTTCATCCGAGCACTAGGGAGAAAATCACCCAACCATTCCCTGGTCCCATCTGCGGACGGGGAACGTACCGTTTATCGTATTTTAGTAAGGGCTATAAACACTCTTAGGAATCAATCCCATCGGCAGCTTCCTCCGCTCTATCGCGTTGCCGGTGTGAGGGTTTTCCCTAGAATCATACATCCTCTATAAAGCTGTACACTCCTGCCCACCCGAGACAACGCCATCTACTGACTCATCACGCATAACATCCACCACCATCGCCATGCCATTCGCCAAATGCCACACAATATGACAATGGAACAACCACACCCCTGAATTCTCTGCCCGGAAGCGTAGAACCGCGTACCCACGGCTGGGGATCTGGACCGTGTCACGCAGTACCGCGCGGGAGAGGTCATATGGCGAAGTGTCCCCGCCCCCGACCCCGTTGTCAGTGGCATTGGCACTGTCGACAGGCTCTAGACCTGGTGGATGCGCGTCGGTGAAGGGGTTGTAGGAGCCCCAGCCTATGGGAGCTTTGTAGACGTGTAGGACGTAGAGGTGGTGGCCGTGCTGGGATCATTAGCTTCAGTTTTGTCGTGGAACGGGGACGGGAGCGGAAATCATACAAGGTGAAAAGGGCGAGATCCTTCGTCGAGGTTATTCACCACCAGGTCGACCCACATCGGGGCAGGTCCTGTAGTAATAGAGAGTTGGTTTTCGTCCCATCTGTCGCGGGGTAGGTAGATAAAGGGCGTTGAAAGGTTGCTTTGCGGTTTCCACGAGGTGCGGTTAAAGAAGGCGTAAGGGATGTTGTGGTTTTGGGAGAGTTTCTGGATCTTGGTGTAGACGACGTAAGTCTGGTTGGCGTGTTTGGGCAGTGAGGAAAGGATGGCTCGTGAAGACGGGACAGTCTCGAGATAGAGTTTGGGATAAAGCTTGAAGTTAGACACGTCTGCCCTAGGGCTGGTGGTCTTGTCTGTGGCGATGGAAAAAAGGTCTGTTCTGCACTCAGAGCTGGGTTGAGGTATCTGAGGTTCCTGAACTTGGTTTAGGTCCTTGCATGTCCTGGTTTCGGATTTGGCTTACTCGTCATACGAGTTTAATAGTCATGGATCTCTGATCGTGTGTGGTACGCCCTGGTGAAGGTATAAGGATTGCATCCATACGTTGTCCGAGGAAGAGCACGCCAGCCGAACTGACTTGTGGCTGGGGTTCGACGTCGTTGCTATCGAGTTGAATAAGATCGAAAACGCCGTCGCTGAAAGTCAGGGTAAAGCCTGTCAAGGACCTGGTGGTTGTTAGCATCTGACCAAAGAGAGACGCTTCTCCACCTGCCCTGTGTGGACCACGCGTATTCTGTAGGACTGGCCATCGTCAAATTCCAGATATGACAAATCAACATAGTGCTCGATGCAGTCCACCGGTCGTGCAGGTACGGCCATGGAGCAGTTGAAATGGCCCACGCCATTGATTAATAGCGAGTCTGGAACTGGCTGTTTTGGTTAGCACGGCAACCAGATCTATTTGAGCTACTAACCTCATTGCCGAAAGATCCAGCGGGCATATACCAGTCTAGAACTTGAGAAGCTGGTTGATGATACCAGTCGCCGATCATGAAGCAACAAGTCCTTGGAGTAGAAATCTCGGTAATTTGCTTCCTCCTCCTTGGATTTTAGGCCACGGTCTGTAAGATTCAGGGAGGGCGCGTGGACTACAAAGCCTCCATAAAGCCCGTCTGCTCTGGACACACCGGAATGAGCATAGTACCAAAACGTCCCGCTCTGGTTCTCAGGAACGGTGAGGTTATAGATGAACTTGGATCCTGGAGCGATTGGACATCGCGAGACTCCAGCCGCACCGTCCATTGAGCCTGGAAGATAATTAGTGATTGGGTACGACAAGCACTGCCTCAACTGAAGCACTTAACTTTGCACATGTAAACCATGCCAATGAATGGAGATGGACTCATCTTCAAGTCCGTTAATGAGGGTTACGACGAGAGTATCGCCTGAGCGAGATTCTATCGTTGGGCCTGGATATAGCCCTATCATATTATCATCAGCAAGACGGTTCCCCTGTGGCAAGACAATAGATCTTCACCATTAATACAATAGATTCGCCCAACGATCCCATCAGGACGTAAGTAGTTCGAAGAGACCACCCATTCAAGATGCCGGCTTTTCAGCTTTTTACGATTCGGCAGCCCTTGCAATGGAGCAACCTATGTGAATCTAAAATGCAACGGTAAAGTATACGGACGTTGCTAAGGATCGCCGAAGTGAGGTACAAAGATCGGATAAATTGATCATTCGCCCTGCAAATGGTAGCAAGTCCTTCTTGCTTTTTTGCTGGTCACTCTGACTTGTTCAGCACTGAGTCCTGGTCTGGACACTGAGAACGAAGATGTCACGTCTAATTGGTGCTGCCTTGTCTGTTCTCCTCTTGAGTCGGCCTGCCATAGCCGGATCTTTGAAGGACATTGAGCATGTGGTTATTTTCATGCAGGAAAACAGGTCATGGAACAATGTATGCTTTTGGCAGCTGCATCTCCATTCTGGGGTAAAGCGCTAATTGACAAACACAGTACGTTGGCACGATGGCAGGAGTCCGGGGTTTCAATGATCTTCCACTCCCCCCAAGGTACTCCAGGAGAATGGATGGAGGACCCGTACGGCAAATTCGGACAGATCTTTGTCGGACCCGGTGAGCTGGAAATTTTCCTAGCGTCCTTGTAACCTGGGCTATACTGATGGTAGTACCTCGACAGGTATCCGAGTGCCCTTCTATATACTGGACCAGGGGCGGTCGTGTGTTCACCGAGCGAGCAGACCACAACTCACAGATCCTGTTCTTGGAACAATGGCTGACCGCTCGCGGATACAAGAACATTCAGACCGATCAGATGGTGCACTGGCGTCGGGAACATATGTCCAACCTTGTCAATGCGTTGGATTTAATAGCTTGATTACAGTATCCCTCGTATTCCAAATGCCGATGCGCCTGCCATGATTGGCAACTCGTATATCGGTACATCCAATTGCCAAGCCAAATATCCAGTTCAACGACCACCTGTCCCGTACGGGCAGCAGAATGACACGTCCGAAGCCTTGTGGTTCGAGGACGGGTACAAGGAGTGCGTTGGTTACTTGACCGAAGGTCGTTACCTAGTGTTTGAAAAAGCTGGTTACGCACTAACAAATGCCGGCAATGCCACTCATCTGAGCATAAGTCCAGCACTCCTGATCACAGCGAAAAGAAACAGCGATGGGTGATCCACTATTCGAATGGCGAGGAGAGCGGACTTTTCCTGATCTCCAGTGCTCTGGATGGTAAATGGCTGGGGCCAAGCGGCACCCTTCTACCAGCCAACTGCAGTGACCAGGCGGCTCAAGTTAAGATCACGTTCCTCGGCAACGGTCAAGGCTACGCGTTAGAGTATGCTACTGGATCGAATGAGGTCGGGTTAGGGGAAAAGTCAGGCTTCAAGGTGTGGAGTGTAACTTACCACAACTAGAATTGGCATGAAGGGTATGGCCAGGTCAGAGGCCTGCAGTACGCAGGATTGGGACGAATGAGAATAGTGTTTACTGTAGTATCTGGATTGTTGTGATTGGAGTCGTGATTGCGCCATAATTGGAACGTGATTCTGGCTTGGCCGCCTTGCAGGCCAGGCATTCTTCAGGCCACGAACGTATATAATCCCTTGTTTCCCCTCACTCAGTCTTTTCTTCTGTTGACAACCACTTGTCCTTACCACGCCAGATGTTCCCAAGCAGCTCAGTCATTAACTATGGCTTTTCGTACAGAAGCAAAACCCCATGCGACAAATCTCAGTATGACTATGGATGAATAATGAACAACTGGGTTGTTTTAAGACCGCTCACGTAACCAGCTGATTGCGGGGCCAATGCTTATTTTTCTCCCCCTGGGGAATTGATTCCGGAGTTCCAGAGCAACGAACCCCCAATGCGCCAGTCAGAACCATTCGGTAATACTGCTAGGCTTATCAGTATCTGCATTGCAGATCATTGGAAGCATCCGAGATAGCGGACAGCTAGGTTATCTCTATCTTGACGTTGTTCTTGTCTGACGCCTGCTGAAGGATGATGATTCCTGCTTCGGCTGAACAAGTCACGAGTGTGCAACACGCTAGGCCAATGTATAATAGTCTCTTGCAAGCCACTGGCTCTGGACTAAGCCAACATTGGCGTTGCAGAAGCTGTTCATTTGTTTACCGGAAGGCAAGTATAAACGATGATCTCCTGGAGATTGGTACTTATGTATCCATCTCACGAGGTACCTGGAAAGGGAAAGTAGTCACCTGAGGCCACAATCTTTTTTGGCCTGATAAGCGACTTTTGGGCGGATTTTCGCCACTCCCTTTTCCTTCTTCCCAACCAGGATTCCGTCACCATTTCTCTTTTCTCCTTCATAGTATTTATCAATCTGTCGCATCTGTTCACATCTTGTGCTCCAGTCGTCGGTCTGCTCAAGCAATCTCGATCTTCAGTCTAGTATTCTCCAACAGCGATTTGGTTTCTCTAAAAAGTGGTTCCCACCAGGATAATCCACTCTGCGGATTGTGGGATCCTCATAATTCCCGAGTCCCGACCGCTTCCAAAGATCAAACCGTGTCTCTTCTGTTGTTGGCTCCCCGCTCGACCGCTATTATTATTCCCTTTCTTCCCAATTCTTCTCTGACCTTCTCCGTCTATCCAGCGGGTGATTCGCGAGTGTCTCTACTGTGCTCAAACTGCATTCCGCCGTTGCTTGAACCTCAGAGTGTTCCCTTTTAGAGACCTTCGAACCAATCGCCCCAAACAAGAGTGTCGCCTCCTGTCTGTATGAGACAATTCTAAAACTTTCTATTGGTCGTTTCATCAACATCCTGTCTTTTCGAGAGCTACGGTTCTCGACCGCCTCCTAGACTGTCGGACATGCCCTCTTTCGCCGACCCGCGCGGCGGTTCTGGTCTGGAAAGTGAAGGTAGGTGTCTGCCTTGCGTACAATTTATTTTCCTAGCCCTGATAAACGGTTTATTCTTGTTGTCAATTGGCTTTCCCTTCGTAGTTGGTACTCAGTAGCACTTCTGGTCGGTCGAGGCTCAACCGTGCCCGAGATCACATGAGCGCATGGCCTGTTCACGACGTCCACCCAAAGCAGCTTTTATGAATTACCTCCCATGCATCTACCACCAATATTCCTTGCTCTGTCCGTACTTTTGATTAGGAAATATGATGGGTTCTGACCAATTTTTAGAAAGGGTGAAGCCAATTTTGGGGACTGGCCTTAATATCTCCTCTTTTCAGAAGATTCTCACTGAGAATGGGCATGCGAGCACAGCAATTGCGGCGGTTGAAGGCAGTCCTTCCAAGCAGCACCGCGCGCCAGTGGCCAAGAAACCCGCGGCTCGAACCCCATTGCATCATACATCGCAGACACCCAGCGTCATAAGTGAATCTCGGAGCCAGTGTGAGAAAGAGCAAGGCGCGAGACCCAGCGAAGAGAACTCTCACGATGGCCTCTTTCACCAAGTATACGAGTGGCTCCAGCAAGAAAAAGTGAAACAAAAAACCCGTCGGTCCAAGTTGAAAGGGACAGGCGAGGGTGTCGAAAGCGATGGCGACGATGATTACTACGATGGTATCCTCGATAAGACCGCATCTCACGACACCGAGAGTGCATTTGCTCTCGACAAGCTCGAAAAGATCCTCCTTCGGTACGCCGCTTCCCGCATTGAGGGCTCATCGTCGGCCTATCCACTGCGGGGACCAACCCGCAAGCGTTCCCGCATCAAGGGTCTGCGTAGAGGCTCTGCATCCGAATCCGATCAGTATGATCTTGACTTGGCAGTTCCCGCTGTTGATGCAGTATTGGACAATACCAAGACGCTCGCATACACAGGCGGGGCCGCCGAGGAAGATGATCGACGATTGAAGGATAAGGAAGCTTGGTTGACGTTCAAGAACGAGATCGTTCGCCTTGCCATTACGCTACAACTCAAAGGTTGGCGAAAGTTCCCTCAGGAGCTTGCTGGCGAGATTGAGGTAATCAGATTGAGTGGTGCTTTGACCAACGCTGTGTATGTGGTCAATCCACCAAAATCCCTCCCTCCGCCTAAGGGCGAAGATGGATCTTATTCTCTTGTTCCCCGGAAGCCCCCGCCGTAAGTCTCCTATTGGCCTCTACCTTCCCCTGCGATAACGGCTAACATGATGCATGTAGGAAGCTTCTATTGCGTATCTATGGTCCGCAAGTGGATCACCTGATTGACAGAGAGAACGAGCTGCAGATTCTTCGCCGCTTAGGCCGGAAGAATATTGGACCCAAGGTACTGGGAACATTCAACAACGGTCGGTTCGAGGAGTTTTTCGAAGCGCGTCCACTTACGCCTAAGGACTTGCGTGTTCCTGAGACCATGAAGCAGATTGCGAAACGTATGCGCGAGCTGCACGAAGGGATCGAACTGCTCGAGGAGGAGAGGGAAGGCGGGCCAGTAGTCTTCAAGAACTGGGACAAGTGGGTTGATCGCTGCGAGCAAGTCATCAACTGGCTGGACATGGAAGTTCAGTCTGAGCACAACGAAGCCAAGGCAGCTTCGGAACCTTGGCGCCGTCGCGGTTTTGTTTGTGGTGTTCCATGGTCCATCTTCAGAAAAGCGGTCGAAAATTACCGGAAATGGCTTGTATCTACCTGCGGAGGGATTAATGAGATCAAACGGCAGTTGGTTTTTGCCCACAATGATGTAGGTCATTCCTTTCGGCATTTGCATCGTGTCTTGATTGTTCATTCACTAATCGGGTCAGACTCAATATGGCAATCTGCTTCGAATGGAACCCGCCTCCGAATCGCCGCTTCTTCTGCCTGAAAACAAGCACAAGCAACTGGTAGTCATTGACTTTGAGTATGCTTCGGCAAATACCCCAGGGTTCGAGTTTGCGAACCATTTTGTGAGTGTAACCGACGGCGTTAAAAAGGGCTCAACTGACTCAATGCAGAGCGAATGGTGTTATAACTACCACGACCCTGAGAGAGCCTGGGCGTGCAACAACCGACACTATCCAACACCCGAACAGCAACGCATGTTCATCGCCTCATATCTGACCCATAGACCCGGAGTGCGATCGGCCGCTTCTCCGTCCATCACTCCCCTCATGCGAGGAAACTCGGCGACCATGACCTCATTAGCGCCCCTGGACCTCGACTCGACCACCGAAGCAGACCTCCAGGGCCAGTCCGAGGCCGAGAAGTCGCAGGAAGATAGCCTGGAGGTCGAGCTCCATTTCCTGATGAAACAGACGAGACTCTGGCGTGTGTTCAGCTCTGCTCAGTGGGTTGCCTGGGGAATTGTGCAGGCCAAGGTACCCGGTATGGAGGAGGGGATTGCGACCGCCGCAGCGGCGAAAGCGTCTAATGGGAACGGCCACAGCAGTGATTCGAACGGGTCAGCAGTGACAGCTGCTGAGCCTCCAGCGCAGCCTCCAGTCGACGTGGATGTGGAGGAGGCGGACGAGTTTGACTATCTTGCCTACGCGCAGGATCGCGCGATGTTCTTCTGGGCGGACCTCCTTGCGCTGAATTTGGTTCGGGAGGATGAGCTCCCGCCTCAGATGGTGGAGCATATCAAATCTCGCATGATTGAGTATTAGTCTGGGTGGAGGGTGTGGATTTTGTTCTCGCTAATCATGACGACTGATGACTGATACGAAGCTACATGGTTCTTCGGCGGTACTGCACTTGAGTTGTTTATGATTCAATGTACCTGTACATAGCGTTCTTTTGTGTGACGGCTAGCTTCTGTATCAATGGCGCTGTATCATTAAGTTTACTCATAAACTATCATGGAGATCATTCATGGTTAACCTCTCCGACTCAACAATCTCTTCTGAGTCTCTTGCTTCGCCTTTTCCACCCACGCCTCATACGCCCCAGGCCCCTCCTTCTCCTTCATCCCCGCCACCCCCTTGACCATCTCCCCAATGAACCCAACAAAATTCCACCGGCGCAGGGTATTCTCCCACGCCCACGCGCGCCTCTTTCTCGCCTCACGCTCCAACAACTCCACATCCCCCGTCTCCCGAGCCCGGACCCTCAAATCCCTCACCACCGCCATAAGATTAAACCGCGTCTCCCCCTCAGGGTACCGCGCAATACGCCTCTGCAAAACCGCAATCACTTTCTCGGGGAACGTTTCAGCAACGCACTCGCCATGACTAATCGGATACGGCTGCAACCCATCAAGCTCGTACAGCACCCCGTTGACAGGCGTATACGCAATGAAATGGTAGACATCCGCCTCCTCATCCTGCGCCGTGCGCACCGTCTCATCCACAAAGGGCGAGGCGCGCGCGAAGGCGTTGTGCGCTGTGCGGATGGTCTCCGAGTTGGAGAGGGCCTCGCCGCGGAGGTCTGGCGGGAAGCCGGTCGTGAAGTCCTTGAAGGAGCGGAGCTCGGGCCCGATATTGATGGGGTAGGGGGTTGAGGCGGGGGAGTCCTGGTTTAGGATGACGGAGA